CCCCCCACCCCCCTACACCACCACATCTTATACCCATTGATTAGTGGAGAGAGCGGTTTTGTAAGCACCAACACTGCCCTAACCAAATTATTTGCTGGAAAATAAGCAACAGTGTTAATTCTTCAGTGTTCATTTTTCTTGATTAATTTAAACCAGGGTTGCAATTGCAGAAGGTACTGCTTTGGATTTCAGGCTGTAATTTGCATATACTTTGTTGGCTGAGTCTACACATTAAAAGACTAGATCACCCTTAATTTGTACATTGCCTTTCCACAAAATGCTTGGTAAATTACAGTGCAGTGTGTTAAATAGAGGTTATCCAAAACCACTGATTTGGAAACAAGAAAAACCAATGTTATAGAGGTGTGGCCTCTATAATTAAGAGATGAAGGGTAGACAAAGACAGTTAAAAAGTTAGAGGAGATTCCTGCAGTTGGTAAGGATAATAATTAAGTGGCGCTCTGTCACAGATATGGGAACGTTTCCTACTGAAATGCCCGCTGGTAGGTGCAATTCAGGTTAATTAATCTGCAAGATGGACATGTTGCTCTCTAGGTAACAGTCACGAGGAGCAGATGTTCAATCTGCCGCGCAAATGTATCCGACTATTCTTCCCCACCCGGAAGTGCTTCATCTTTGATCGCCCTACTAGTAGGAAGAACTTACCTCATCTGGAACAGATGCAAGAGAGTCAGCTGGAGCCTGATTTTGTGGAACAAGCAAAGCAGTTCTGTCGCTATGTCTATTGGACATCTCGAGAAAAGACTCTTCCAGGCGGACACATTGTCACTGGCAACCGTGAGTGCTTCTAGCTCTATTATTATTATTATAAGCCAGGGGCAGTTGGAAGGTTTGAGCTCATTATGCCTCATCTCTTGAATGAAGTGTCCTCCAGAAAGCCATGCAGGCTGGAAAAATGTGGCAGTCCTCAACCACCCAAACTGGCAAACAAGTTGTGGCACAGTGCCTTAGATTCTTGAGTCTGCTCCACAGTGAGCAAAGGCAGCTGAATATGTGCAGCTGATGCTCCAGCAATCTGTTTATTTTTCTCTATTCAGTGTTGGCAGAGTTGGTCAAGACCTATGTGGATGCTATTCATAGTGGGAAAGTTCCTTGCTTGGAGAATGCAGTATTGGCCTTGTCTGAGATTGAGAACGCGGCTGCTGTGCGTGAAGCTGGTGCTCACTATGTGCAAATGATGGAGCAAAACCTGAAGCTACCCACTGAGACTCTCCAGGAACTTCTGGATGTACATAAAAAATCTGAGAAAGAGGCCCTCCGGATCTTCATGGCTCGTGCTTTCAAGGATGATACACGTCAGTTCCAGGGCAAACTTGTGGTAGGTAATCTTGTGAGATACCAACATTCATAGACAATATTGAAGGTTCAAGGGTCCTGGTGGTATGGTACCTTGGCCTCCAGTATTTTCTGTATTTATAAGAATGCTACATAGCCTCACACAAATTGTGGAGATGTTCTTAGTCAATAAATTTGTGGATGGCTGCAGCCAGGTGCTTTGTTTGGAAACATGCCCAATTGCCCAGACGGATAATAGATGGATGTGGGAAGGAACATCTAGGAGGGTCCACAGGGTGGCAAGGAGTATCATCATCAGCCTCTTCAATTAGGTTCCTCCTGTAAGAATTAATGAGCCTCTAGTTAAGTTGAAGGAAGAGAACCTGCAATTTCAAACTATGATTAAGCTCTGTTGAATCATGGGAGACCATCCAAATGTACTGGAAGTAAAAACATGCTTTTGTTTGTTATGTCTCAGATCTTGTTTTGTAACATTTTATTCCTACCAGAAAACTGTGGACAGCAAGAAGGAAGAGTACTGCCGCAAAAATGAGATGAAATCTTCTGAAGTCTGTTTAGCTTTACTGAGGTCACTCTCTGAGGGCTTGGAACAGAAGGTCAAGAATGGAAGCTACTCCCAGCCTGGTGGCCACCAGGAATTTGTAAATGACCTGAAACAAGTGGAGGAAAGATACCATGAGGCACCTAAGAAAGGAATAATGGTACAAAATGCTGGGGTTGCTAAATTCATACTCACAAGGGACATTGTAATGCTGTTAGGCCAGGATCTGTAACATTTGAGAGAGCGGTTGGGAAAATTATTTATATTATTTATTTATTATTCAATTTATATTCCGCCCATCTCCCCCAGCGGGTGACCCTGGGCAACTCACAATTAAAATCAAACATTAAAAACAAGAAAGAATATAAATATCTACTTTAAATTAGCTAAAAAAAATCATAGTATATAAAAATACTATATACATAAAAAGACTATGACATTCAAGATGATGGGGGGGCAGAATCAGTTACCCCACGAGCCTGTTCCAACAATGTGAGCCCCATCAGGCCCCCAGGACATCTGGCATAGCAACATTTTACACTCTTCCTGAAGGCCATGAGAGTGGGGACACACTGCACCTCAGGTGGTACATTGTTCCACAGAGTGGGGGCCACGGCAGAAAAGGCCCTCTTCCTAGACCCTGGCAGTTGAAATTCCTTGACTGGTGGGGTCAGCAACATGCAACTTCTGCTGGACTGAGTGGGGCGGGCTGATGTAATGGGCGAGACGGATCCTCAGATGACCTGGTCCTGTGCCATGAAGGGCTTTAAAGATAATAACCAACACCTTGAATTGGACCTGGAAGCAAACCAGCAACCAATGCAGCTCACGTAACAGTGGTGTTATATGTGCCCCCCGGGGGCATTCAGAACTATCCGCGCCGCCACATTTTGTGCCAGCTGTAGCTTCCAGATACTCTTCAAGGGTAGCCCCACGTAGAGTGCATTGCAGTAATCCATAATCTAACAAATGATGCATGCAATATATTGTGGAGCTGGGTTAGTTGTAAAGCAGAATTCAAAATAGGGGAAAATAGATTACGCACATTGTGGACACTAATAATCAAAGGCAGAGGTGTCTGCAGGATCCAGTGCTTTTATCAAAATGATGAAATACTGTCATGCTGTTGCAATACAAAGCTGTGCTCCTTGAGTGTGTCCGTGCAAGATCACAACATATATACAAAAGGGGTGGAGCTTGTATTGGGACAGTGTGACACGGCTTTCATTATTTGCTGCCACCCTGAACCTTCCTGCAGATGCCTCTGAAGAACTGTTTCCTACAATTCCAAGTTTAAAAACCTGAAAGATGTTTGGCAAATTGGTTAAAATTTATATACAAATAATCAGTCTGAGTTATCAAAACATAGGCAAAACAAGACCCATTAACATCCCATTGAAAACAACAAGGAGATACAGAAAAATCGATAGATCAACCTTAAATAATCCAGTAAGTTCAAGCAAGCTATATGAATGCTCAATTTGCTAAAATTCAATCATTTGAAATTTCCAAGGTCTCCACACCTAAAACATCATGTTTTCCTTCAAAGTATTATTTCCAATTTTAATAACAGAAGTTTGAAGGGAACCTTTATACAAATAGACTAATGGAAGACACCTAATGGAAGACTTGATTAAGATTCACACATGAATACCATACTGGGTATTGTGAAATTGCAGCCATGATTAACTTCTAAAATGTAACAGGTGTTCTACTAGCCTTGTAGGCCACACAGAGTCCAGCCCATTTCTGGGTGGTTTTTAGAGAAATTCCCCCTCACTGGCACCAACACTGAATGCTGGCATTCAAAATGTTCTTTGGAAGAGCTACAGGAAGCCAAATTTCCTCATCGGGCATCAGAGGTCCATTTTGCCAGCCATGTGGCAGCGTTGCCATCCTACAGGGAGATCGTTCAGTGTCCTTGCTTTGACAAAGCCTCCTCATCGCATTTCCAGATTCCATGCTCCAGATTGCTCTTTTTTCCCCTCTTCACCTAGGCGGGGAAGACCCTGAAAGAATTCCTGCAGGGCAAGGACAGCATCAGCAAAACCATTCTTCAAAGTGATGTAACCCTTAAAGAGAAGGAGAAGGAAATGGAAGGTAAAGGCTTGATCCAGTTGTAAGATTATGCTGGGGTGTTGGCTCTCCCTTGAAGGTGGGAAAAGACGGGTTGTCTATCCTTACACCAAACCCATTGCTAACTGGGGAAATGCTTTCCTGTCTACATAAAATCCTGGTAATGAAAGATGGAGAAGTTCCTTTTTTCTGCAGGATTAGCCAGCGTTTCTAACTGTACTCACAGTATATCCCAATAAATGGATTGCAGAATGCTGAGCAAGAGAGCTGGGGGCCTTGGAAGGACGGGATCATGAAGGAGCTGATTCAAGCCTATCACAGCTATGTTTAAAGGTTGTGGAGAAAAGAGGATTCTAGGGGAAGCAATCCTCTTTTCTAAAATGTTCATGTAATTTCCCATTCTTTTCTTACCTCTTTGGGCAATTTCCTTGTAATTCCCCTATAACAGCCTGTAACCTTCTCTTGTCCAGGTTCTAAACTCCCTCACTACAGTGAACAGGGTTTCTCAACTTTGGCAGCTTTCAGACGGGTGGACTTCAACTCCCAGAATTCCCCAGCCAGCCCTGCTGGCTGGGGAATTCTGGGAGTTGAACTCCACCCATCTGAAAGCTGCCACGGTTGAGAAACACTGACAGTGAGGATGGAAATGTATATAGGTAGTCCTTGCTTAAAGACCATTTGTTCAGCGACTGTTCGAACTTACGACAGCACTGAATGCATAGGACTTAGGACTGGTCCTTGCAGTTACGGTAGTTACAGCGTCCCACGGTCACATGATCCCCATTTGCAACCTTCACTGCCAACTTCCAACAAGCAAAATCAATGGGGAAGCTGGCAGAAGGTTGCAAATGGGGACCATGTGACATCGCACTTAACAGTGGTGCGGGATTCACTTAATGACGGCAATAGAAACTGCCAGAATTGCCGTCACTAAGCAGTGTGGTCATGCGATGTTGCACTTTATGACGGTGTCGCTTAGCAACGGAAATTCTGGTCCCAATTACCATAGTTAAGTGAGGACCATCTGTATGCCAAATCTACTTATTTATTACATTATTTGCATACTACCAAGTCTAGCCCACACCTGCAGATGTTTGTCTTTTTTTTCCCCCCTGGACCAGATGCAAAGGCCATGGCAAAAGCAGCAGAACTAGAGAGGGAGATCCAGAAGCAGCAAATAGATATGTTGCAACAGAAGTTGGATGACCAGAAACAGAGTTATGATATGAACCTTCAGACGCTAGAGGCGCAGATGGTGGAAGATAGAAAGAAGATACTGGAAGAGCAAGAGAAGATGATCAGTAGCAAACTCAGGGTAAGGCTATTGTCTCAGCAAGAGTTTGCTCTAGTTGTGGGGGGCAGTTTTAACAAAATTGCAGACTTTCAGAACTGAAAAGCCATGATTTTAGAATAAGCATAGCACACGTTCCTCTTTCTTTACCTTATCACATCGTCTCCACTTACGTCATTTTGATACAGGTTGAAATACATTTATTTGCTTGGGGAAGTTTTAAAGTCACTGGGACTATGTAAAGAAAGCAAATGATAGAAACAGTGAAAGAGGGAGCGTCCTAAAGGTTTCTAGTGCTCAGAAGGATGCACTTTTAACAGCAATGAAGAGTAGAACTAGACGCAACAATTCACAGCACTTACAGAATTACTGTATAGGTACTTAACTGAAGTCTTGAAGAATAAATGCAGAATTTCAAACAGTACAGGTAGTCCTTGCTTACTGACCACTCGTTCAGCAACTGTTCAAAGTTACAACGTCACTGAAAAAGGACATTTATGACCAGTCCTCGAAGTTGCAGCTGTTGCAGTGTCCCCACAGTCACGTGATTGTGATTTGAGTGCTTGGCAACTGGCATGCATTTACGACGTTTGCAGCATCCTGCAGTCACATGATCACCATTTGTGACCTTCACAGCCAGCTTCTGACAAGCAAAATCAGTGAGGAAGCCAGCAGGAAGTTACAAGTCATGGTCACATAACATCATGCTTAATGACTGCACTGCTTAGCAATGGAGTTGCTGGTCCCAGTTGTGGTTGGTAAGTGAGGATTACCTGTATAGGTTTACAGTCAGGTAAAAGTCAGTCTTTATATGCTGAATATGTATGCTGAGTATGGTTTTAAAATTGGAGGAAGAAACTGCATAACCTGTGCTATGCTGATAATGCTACTCGGATAGCTGAAAAGGCAAATGCAAATGTTCAAGCTCTAGTAAAGAAAGTCAAGGAGCACAGTGAAAAAATAAAACAGATTAAATATAAAGAAGGCCAAACTAATGACAACGGGTACAGCAACCAGTCTTAGAACTGACAATGAAGATATCAAAGTGGTGGATAGCTTCTGCCTTTTAGGATCAACTATCAATGGTAAAAGAACCAGCAGTCAAGAAATATGCTGTAGATTAGCACTTCGTAGAGTAGTAACGAAGGCCTTGGAAAAGATGTGTCTATATCTACAAAGATCAGAATCATGCAAGTCATGATATTCCCCTGTGACATTCTATGGAAGTGAAAGTTGGACTTTGAAGAAGCAGGGCAGGAAGAGTGTTGACACGTTTGAGCTTTGGCATTGGAGAAGACTCCTGAGAACACCATCGATAGCCATGAAAACAAAACAAAGCTTCATTGAACAAATCAACCCAGAGTTCACACTCAAGGCACAAATGACCAGGCTCAAATCATCATACTTTGAACACATTATGTGAAGAGCTGCATCTCTGGAGAAAGCTCTAATGTTGGGAAAGGTGGAAGGAAAGAGGACAACCAGCAGCAAGGTGGATGGACTCAGTTACAGCAATGACGGATACACCAGTGGAAGTCCTAAAGGACCTGGTTAGAGACAGATTGTCTTGGAGAAAATCCATCTGTGTGGTTGTTAATAATTGACACCAACTTGATGGCATGTAATCTATCCATGAATCAAAAGTCAATTTTACTTGAGCTTCATCTGAAGACTTAATTTCTTCAGTGCAGGGAATAGATCCAGTGATGCTGAAGCTGCAAAAAGCAACAGTGGAAAAGCAAGGAGAGAAATTTAAGGGTAGAGGAACAAGAAAAAGAAAATTTGGAGGCAGGCTTTGCTAAAACCCAAGATGGTTAATAGTAAAATGAGAGAAAATGAAATGAGGCTTACCCCTCTTAAAGTTACAGTGCAAAGAATCTTCTGAGATTTGGGGAGCAAGACAGACAGCCTTTACTCTCAGACTTCCTATGCAGCTTAATATCCTAACTGCTCCAGAAGCCACACGGGTTGATCACTGCAGGACACGCCCCTCCATGGCACAGAGAGTAATTGAGCTGAACTACAGGGATCCAATGGGGTGTAGTCCATATGAGATGATTTCCCTGTTTTTCCCCTTTACCCAATTCTAATTTGACAGGAAATGTCCAAATACATCTTGAGTCTTCTTTCTTTATTGGGTACATTCTTGAACATGGTCTCCAATGTTAATCACATCTTTTGCTTTCAGTCTAATAACTGATGGGCTCTGTTTGCAGGAACAAGAGGCTTTCTTGAAAGAGGGTTTCGAGAAGGAAGCTAGACAACTGAACGGGGAGATCCGTCAGCTGAAACAGAAAAGTGAAGATGTGAAGAAGCCATCTTGGATAGCCTCAGCTTTGGGAGTCCTAGGAGACGTGGTCTCAACGGCATTACCAGGAATTTGGGGCAAAGCTGTTGGGGCTGTTACTAATTTGTTCAAGCATTTCTAATCCAGAACAAATGGCCTTATTTCCTCTCCCAGGAAGTTCCTGTATATTCTAGAAATGACCTGGCTGCATTCTTACTTGAGTTATTTTAAATATGTTCTGTAAATGTAAAGTCATGGTACGCAAAGTCATTCTTGGACTCTAGGGGCTTGTTTCAAGGATGGCATTTTAAGGCTTCATAGGCTTCCAACAGTCCGTGGCTTCATGAAACATCACAAGCTGAGTTCAGGCATTGTATTAAGCTCCTGTTGGTTGGTTGGTTTTAATCCTGATGTTTTAAGTCATGTTTGGGGGTTTATATATGACACAAAGCCCAAACTAAACCAAGCACTTAATGCCTTAGTGCAATTGGAGAAGTCATTGTAAGATAACCAAAGAAAATGAAATTTCTTTCATTTATGAGAGAAAAGAAAAGAATAAAACAGGATAGAATGAAGCATAGTGAATGAAGATTATGACCCTAACCTGTTTCCCAAATATTGGCTATTTCCTCATTAGCAATTTATAGTGTTTTATAGCATTGTCCACCCATCACTATGCCAACATAACACCAACTGGAGAAGGCTGTATAGTGCTTTATGATTTTGGATATTCCTAGAAAATGTATTTTCAGTTACATTGACCACAAGAGGTACCCATGTCCAGTTTTGTCTTTATTGGGACTACTCAGACATCGGTAGCTATAGATTGATAACTTTTTATCAATAGAATAGAATAGAATAGAACCGAACCGAACCCCAAGAGGGTTGTGTGGAAGTCATGCAAACCCTGTAACATCTCTGTCTCTCTCCTCTGAGAGCTTAAGGGAAGGTGGACTGTATTTATCAATCTGATCACGCTTCCAGAAAATAATAGAAATGCAAGACCCAGCAGGAGCAGCCTATGGTGATGGGGCCACCAGAAAGCTGAGGAATTCTCTGCTTTTTGGAGATGCAGGAAACTTCTGCCTTCCACGTGATTCAGCCACATCTTTGGATTGGCTCTTTCAACACCCACCCAATTTAGGTTATGCCTTTGAATGGCCTTTGCGTAGCTTTCTTTCCTTTCCTTGACAATATAGATTTTTAAATATGTTCTTTAATAACAGTGTTATTGTGTTGCCTGATGGGTGAGGAGCCCATTTACACCGTAGTAGCTTCATAAGCTTGAACTCAAAAGGCCTACTAGAAAATATAACAAAGTAGCATGTTTTATAGTTTGCTTAATTAACCCACATGGATGGATATGCATATCACACATTAGATGCTTTTACATTGCATCTGAGCCACATTAAGGTTTGTGGTGCTGTGAACCCATCTTTTGGAATGTGCCTAAAAGTTACAGGATTCCCCTGTTCTTTCACACAGCTTTAAGAAGCTGTTCCCAAATAGGAGGCAGGAAGCTTCTTATGGATGGAACACACATCATGTGTGCATTTCCTAAAGTCATGGTTGTTCAGGTTGTAACACTTAACGCAATCCATCCAGGAAGCCTACGGGACCCTTGTTTACTTGCACTCATGTTACCTCACTCCAGCGGAGCCAGTCTTTCTGAACACAGAGGGAAGGACCAAGCTCGAGATCTTGCGGGACCATGTGTCCTTCCATGGAGCTCCATGGGATCACTAAGGTGCTGGATGGAGGCGGTCTTTGGAGTTGACAGTATTAGCAAACTGCCCTTCTCCTGATCAGTAAAAGAAGAGGGTGGGTGCCCAGGAAGAAGCTCATCCTTTTGTTACTGTTTGAAGTGGTTTGAAGCAGAATTTGTGGGAATGCTTGCCTGTTTTCACAGTGCACAATTTGATTGTCTCCTAAATAAACAGTTGCATTCCAAATGTGTGAACATCTTCTTCTGGCATAAGCAATAGTATGGGAGCAGAGTCTCTAATTCACAGATACTTTCAAAAATTAAAATTATTAATCCTGATGAGCTAAATGTATACATATGGTGTGTGTGGCTCTGTGGCTCATCCCTTCCTTCCATGGAAACAATCTTAGTTTGATATTACAGTATTCAGAAAGGGATACAGATAGTCCTTGCTTAACAACCACAATTGGGACTGGAATTTAAGTCACTAAGTGATGTGGTCATTAAGTGAATCATCACATGACTGGACCTGATTTTATGACCTTTCATGGTGGTTGTTAAGTGAATCACATGGTCATTAAGTGAATCACATGGGTTCCCTATTGATTTTGCTTGCTGGAATCTGGGAGGGAAGAATGCAAATGGTGATCATGTGATCCTGGGACACTGCAACTGTCATAAGTGCAAGCTGGTTGCTGAGTGTCCAGACCATGATCATGTAACTGCAGGGGTGCTGTGACAGTTGTAACTTTGGGCATAGGTCATAAGTCTCTTTTTTAGTGCTGTTGTAACTTTGAACAGTCACTAAATGAACAGTCATTAAGCGAGGACTACAAGTATGTATAAACTTTGGAAAGCCCATCATTTCTGAAAGTTTGCACACTGGCTAGCTGGCTATGAGGAGAAGGCTGCGTCCTGCGGAGGAATTCTTGAGAATGATCAGCCCAGCATTCTCAAGCCAACATTTGGGGGATGTGTAGATCTGCCAATAACAACAACAACAATACAGTAATGTTAAAAGCTAGACACGCACAACGCATGCACATCCCCAGTATCACCCTTGGCATTATATCACTTCATTAGACAGCATCTCCCTGTAACTGAGCAGGTTTGAAGACCACCAGGGGTTGGTTCTCTGACCTGTGGCTCGTAACAGCCAGCCTCTCCCAAAGCGCCTTTTCCTGCCATTGATTTTACTTTTGCTTGCTGATTCCTCCCCAGCAGTCCCATTTCTCAGAAAGCACCGGGTCTTGGTCTGGTCTGCACAGATCCTGCCCAGCCCCTGCGCTTAGGAAGCCCAAGAATTGCTTTTGTTCTCCCTCAGATGCGTCATTGTTTTCAGGAGGCTGGGAACTAGGGAAGCGGCTGCAGTTTGCCCCTTCCTTCCTCCAGAGGAGCAACACAACAGGAAAGTCACTCCTGCCAAAGGCACAACAGAGTTCTCAGTGACTATTTAGCAAAAGCCACGCAGATGCTCCCTGCTACAGTTAAGGGGAGCGCCATCTATTATAGATGGTGTGTCCATAGCTCTTACGCGTCTGCAGAGAGAATAAAACATTCCAACCATAATTCAAATTATTCATCAGAATAAGATTTCTTAAGACAAGGGGTATAAATCCAAACTTACATATCTGAGCCTACCCATGTGTGCAAGTTTCAGATGAGGAAGATCTGGCATCATGTTTATTTTCAAACTATTTAGAAGCCTCCCATATCAGGAATAAATAAACCCAGAAGAGTACAGTATGGACGTAGGCACTGATTTATGGGATTATAAGGCTGTCCAGCTCATTTATGCTTCCAGACAGTGTACAAGTATAAAACCAATATAACAACTATGCACACAGAGCTAAGGCTGGAAGTAACCATGGTGCTGTTTCCTAATAGCTCAAGCACCATCTTGGGCCAATGCACAGGAGAACAGCCAGGTCTTCACAATTCTATGAAAGGCTTGTGAGGGTTGAGATCACCCACATTTTGGGTGGTGGTGGTGGTGGCCTTGGTGGGCTTATTCCAAAGGACACGCACAGCAATAAAGAAGGCACACCCCATAAGATGACCCTGCCTTAAGCAAGGGACATGGAACATGTCCATCTTGGGTGACCTAGTGAGATGGTCAGAGATAACCAGAGATGGGCAGTTGCAGGGCTTTACAGGTGATCACCCACACCATGAATGGCACCTGTAAGCCAGCGCAGCTCAGAGTAGTGATGTTACACGGGTGTACAAGGGCACACCCATTACTATCCGTTGAAGACACATTCTGGGCTAGTTGTAACTTCTGGATGGTCTTCAAGGGCAGCCCATATACAGTGCATTACAGAAAGTCAACTGGGAGGTGACTAAGGCCTGAATGACTGTAAGCTGGACCTGACAATCCAAAAGCAGGTGCAATTGACTCACAATATGAAGTTGTGCAAGGGGCTGCCTGGCCATGGCTGTCACCCCCTCCTCAGGCAGGAGCTGTGAGTCCACGAGGACCCCCAAGTGGCAGGCAGGCTCTGAGTAGGGGAGTGCAACCCCACTCAGAGCCAAGGGTAGAAAATCCCCTGATCCAGATCCTGGGGGGATGGCAAAACCCACAGCCACATGGTCTTGCCTGAATTGAACTGAAGCCTGTCCTCCCTCCAGAATGATGAATGTGAAATCAGAAGTAAAACACTCCAGAATTACTGTCCTGCATTGCCCTCTGCTGGCTGCAAATCAGTCGGTAAGGATGACTATTGCATAGACATAAACTACCGCACTGCATAATTGTTTCAAGGGCTGTTGGCATCTCTTTAAGGCAGCTTCCTCCCAATTGGTTCTCCCTGCATGTGTTGGATTTCAGCACCAGTAAAAGTTGCAATTCAAAATATCTCCAGGGCAGCAGGTTGCCTGCAAGAAATATCATATTTGAGGGGACGATCATATTTCACGTAGCAATTTCTCTGGGGGGACCTGTAATGGTCCTGGAGCTCTGCTTGATTGCAGTTGCGGCAAAGTTGCCCACCTTTTGGAGCAGGAAGTCTAGCGTTGATTGCATAAGTCAAGATATTTGGGGAGTTGAAATCCACTCATCTGGAGGGTGCTCTGGTTACAAAAGGGTGCCATAAATCCTTAGATAGGCTGAACAGAATGTTGACGCATTTCTCTCCCCAAATCTTCTGCTTCCCAAAAAGAAGAACAATCAGAAAATCCCAGTGCTGTGTCCTCACCTGTTGTGGGTCAGGGCTGTTGGACTGCAACCCTCTAAACCAGGGTTCCTCAACCTTGGCGACTTTAAGACGCAAGGCTGGCTGGGGAATTCTGGGAGTTGAAGTCCACCCGTCTTAAAGTTGCCAAGGTTGAGGAACCCTGCTCTTAACACCAAGTGCACTCATGTGGAGGAGGAGGAAGAGAAAAAGGAGGAGAAGGTGTATCTTTGATTTCCCCCTTTCCTGCAGGTTGTAAGTTTTCCTGCTGTTTTAAATGCATGGATGCCATACGTCCCATCGTTCCTCGTCATTATAATGCTCTCTGCACAGCTCACAACTTGAGAAAGGTAACCCATCCATTTAAAGTCCCAGTGCTTCCCTTCCACAGGAAGAGGCAAACTAGAACAAGAAGTCCCATCCACCAAGAACTTCTCGTCTGCAGGAAGCCTCCAGTGAAATGGAAGAGTCTGTGATACGTACCGTGTATTTTTTTTCCTTACCAATGCAGCTCGCAAGGCAAAATCCCCGGTGGACTGTTTCTATCATTTGTAATGTGTGCAAGAAGACCCTCTCAACATTAAATCCTAACATATTAACAATGAAGCAATAGGGAATTACAGAGAACGCCCCCCCCCTTTTTACAGCCAGTTTTGGCAGCGGGATTATCCGGTTGATTCTAATCGGTCTCCTGTTTCTAAGAAGGGCAGTTAGCAATCTGTGCAAACCTGTGAGCATCCAGAATCTTTCTAACAAGCCTTAGATTTTACTGCATTACCCCCCCCCCCCCGATGAGCTGTATTTCTCCTCCAATAATTAGGAAAAGAGCCAGAATGCATGGGGTTTCCAATTTAGATAGGCACCTGATTCGGGGAATAGTCATTAGGGATATATTGAATTTATTCATGGAAAGGAAGGTTTGGGACTTATGTTGTCCGTTTCCCAAGTCTGTGTCTATACTAAGAATATGCAATTAACCTGAATCTGAAGGGAGAAAAATAGAAATGCACTAGACCTGTACAAGTCCCATTAGGCAACATGCTATAAATGAAAGGAAAAAGAAGAACAGCTTTTTCAGACCAGGAACCATCTACCCAGCCTCCTCTCCCACAAGACCAGCCACTTGCTTCTGGAAAAAACACAGCCAGCATATCTTTCTTTTGCAGATGTTGACTTTTATTCAGCACAACTTGCTTTCAGTGTTTTATGATGTTATTTTTATAAGGGTTCCCTCCAGTTTCATCCAAACAGATGTTAAGCTAACTGGCCTGTGATTTTCTGGATACCTTCTGGATTCCCCCCCCCCCCCCCCAAAAAGGGTGTTATTTTGAGCAATTTCCAGTCCTCATTTACAAAAGGTAAACTGCAAGTGTGATTTTTTTTTAAAAAAATTACTCTCGGAAGAGAATCCATAGCTGGTGAAGGAAGGAGGAGTAAAAGGGAGGAGGAGGAAGGGAGGCAGGTAAAGGGAAGATGGTGGCCAAGGTGGGAATGGTTAGGAAAAAGAGATAATGGCATGGAGCAATGGGGTCCACAGGGAATGGTCCACCAGCTCAAGATGGTAGTTGTGATGGTGCAATCAAAGCTGTGTTTTATGTGTTGTACATAAAAATGGGAGGAGCTTTAGTTTTGTCTGCCATCTTGACTTTCTGGACCCCCATCCTGCAGATACCCTTGGAGTGGAGGACACCTATTACCATATGGGAATAATATGCTATCTGAAGATGGTGGCAAACCAAAGACACATCAAGATCAATTCTTGTAACGTTTTCCAACCTTGATTACTGGGCAGTTGAACAAGGCAGTTACCAAATTATTTTGTGCCTACTTACACATACACACACAAAAACACCTTTTAATTGTAATTTTACTCTATTGATCTCATTGGTTATATGTGTTTAACGCTAGGGATGTCTTAATCTGAGAATTGGTGAGATAACTTCCCTCTGCAAATTGTATCTTTCAGTGGCGTCTTCTATTATCTCTAGCTCTGCCTATCCCGATTCACTTAACCTGTCACATTGATTGGTTTACTCTAGAAATACGCCTCTAATACATGAACGTTAGTGCACTACCTCACATAAAAAGTTATCTTGTGCCCATGACACCTCTGATCTAAGTGCTGGCAATATGCTAAGCAAACAGAGATAGGTCTTGATTATTGCTCATAGAAGGCAAGAGCTGAAATTTCACATTACAAAGTCAGGGAGATAGGCGAATAGGTATGTTGATGTGCCTTCTGGATTTAAGAGAAGCAACTTCGATGGAATAGATCGAGTCCAGAGGATTTTTCTCTGCAAGAAGGAGTGGCTTTGTGGTCAGATGGTCTCCAAGAACAATAGCCATCATGAATATTGGTTTTCTGGTTCTTGAGAGTATCCTGGCCATAGCCATTATCACAATCAACCTGCTAGTGTGTGTCACCATCTATCTGCACAAGGAATTGAGATGTATCACCAACTATCTGATTGTCTCCTTGGCGGTGGCTGACCTTGGCGTGGGAGCTTTAGCCATCCCCTTCTCCATGGTGCTCAGCATGGAGTATACCCTGTGCTTCTACACTTGTCTCTTCCTCACTTGCTTCCCACTGGTCACCACCCAATTCTCTATCCTCCTCCTGCTGGTGATTGCCATCAATACCCACTTGAAGATCAAGCTGCCCAACAGGCAAGTCATGTTCTTTGATCAGAACCCAGTGTGTGAAGTTTGGATGTGTGTGAGAGAGATTATCTGTATTCACAGCCATCTGGATGGTTCCACGAGGTTCTGCAGATCCAGTGGAATACATTCCACATGAAGAAGCCACAGAAGAGCCACGTGTGGAGACTTGATGCTTCCATAGATTGGAGTAGTGAATCACTTCCCGCTTTCTTTTTGGAGAATTGAAGGCAGGTTTTAGTGCTGATGGGCAACTGGTTTTCATTTGGTTGTTTTCATACCTGAGATCATATAGTAGGATGAAAGAAGAACGGGTGTGCTATGCGCAAATAACCTCTTGTCTCAAATCAGCTCTCTCTTTAAAAATGTCAATTATATATTTTGTTGTCTTATATCATAGGGGAATAATAAATCTGTCTTTTTCAGGATGAACTCTCCTGAGGTTGGGAAAAAGCTGTTATCCATCCAGAAAACTGTTTTTCAACCAGTTAAATTGCTCACTTGCTATTTTATCAGGCACACACCAGCTTTGTAATTGGAGAGAAAAGCTAATAGTGTACCACAGTTCTGGACAAGGGTTTCTCTCCCTACCCTGGAGTTGTACACTATGATCAAGAGCTAGAAAGCAGGCTTCTTCTTCTAAGAAGCTGTCCTTCTGACAATTGCATTCTTGTTTTAATTTAAGCGAGGGCATGTAGTGAACTAATTTATCAGCAGTGATTCAAACATTACATTATCTAACCAAGGTTTAACCATGGTTTATTAAATAAAACACAAGTCGCTGGATGATTGCAGTGCATTAAGCCATAAATCATGGCTTAGAAACAACAATGGCTATGCTTGCACAATACACTGAGCCAAAACCAAACCACATTCCTCAGTGCAGTGTGTGAATCCATCTGAGAGATATTGGATGAATTGAGTTGCTAGATACTATGGCATGGTTTTGCATGAATTTGCTTATGATATTTTTTTAAACCTGGGCTAATTATGCACTCATGGTGATTGGTTTTTGCCTTAGAAGAAGCCATAGTAGTGTTAAATTGGGTTTTGGCTTTGGTGTCATGGCCCGCTGAAAATATTTTGTTACTTGAGATGGCTCATAATCTGAGAAATGAGTCCTCAGAAATAATGTTACGAGAGAGCCAGTTTAGTGTAGTGGTGAAGGCACCGGGCTAGAAACCAGGAGACTGTGAGTTCTAGTCCAGCCTTAGGCACAAACCAGCTGGGTAACCATGGGCCAGTCCCTCTCTCCCAGCCCTAGGAAGCAGGCAACGGCAAGCCACTTCTGAAATCTTGCCAGGAAAACTGCAGGGACTGGTCTAGGCAGTCACCAGGAGTCAACACTGACCCGAGGGCACCCCCTCAAAAATGTTATGAATCCTGACAGGTACATCGGGGACTATTCACTCATACATCTAAAGCAGTGTTGTCCAAACTTGGCCACTTTAAGATGAGTGGACTTCAACTCCCAGAATCCCCCAGCCAGCATGGCTGGCT